AGCATTGCTACACGTTGGGAACAAGCGTCAATCGTGCAGTAAACACGACGTCAGCTTTACTGAAAACAGCAAGATGAAACTCTCCGCTTTGTCGCTCGTTTTTGGCATGATTCTTATGATGACGATCATGTACACTAATGCAGAAGCGGAAGCTACGGCAGAAGCCGATGCCGATGCTGAAGCTGAAGCTGAGGCAGAGGCCTTAGTACGTATAATTATTATACCAATGTTAATCTCATTGTTAATCATGTTTTTGTTGCCAAATCTATTTTAAATTTCTAAATGAACATCCTTAATACGTGCGACGTAAACTAATGATTAATTGTATTGGATTTATTTATCGTATCGCTCATTGTTAAATTGAAAATATATATATCTTTGTTGAAATATTATATAAATTGCGTTCAAGTCAAATGCGCGTGCACTTGAATTTATAGTAAATACACATAATTTTTTATATATAATGAAACAGTTCTGTTTCTCTTTATGTTTAGGTGGGTGCCCTCGTTAGCACCCTACTGGTAAGTATACAAAAATAATATGCATATAAATATCTTTGTGTGATATTTATATTGAAAATAAAATTGTATTTTATTAGTCACTGGTACCCAGTTTAATGAAGGGCTAATAACAAGCATTGGAAGCAGACGAGGATGCAGAACGGATAACTCTGGAATTACACGAGAGAAGATGCATAATATACATGTATTGTCAACAACTTATTTTAGTTTGCGTTTACCTCCCACAATTTTTCTCCTGATGTTCGTTTAATCTGATATTCCACTGAATAATAAAGTTTTCAACAAGTGCACATTTATATTTATTATAATTTATTTATTATTAATTACTTTATAACGCGAACTTCGAGTTCAATCATTATCAAAATCAGTTTAGCGCCACGGGAAGCGCATTTTACTACAAGTAGTGATTCGCAATCCTTGCTACGAAGAGGAATGATTATAACCTAAAAGGCTAATATTTATTAATAATTCAAAAAATAAAGTTCTGGTATTTACCTTATCGTTAAATGCTTTGTGCAATCAATGTTGCAATTTTACATGGCGCTACTATATTACATATGTTTATCTAAAGAAAATTTGTTATTTATTGGCACTCACATATCTATCTAGGAGGATAGTTTGGCTTTTATGGCTGTTTATATAATTATGGCGATGTACGTATGTATATGTGAACGTAGACAAGTCTATCTATATCTGAGAAATTCCTAGCGCATCAAAAAGAAATCATTTTATGTTGACAATGGCGCAGATAATCAGTCAAATTTTACAATATAAATGATCTATAGAATTGATGACTAATCCTTAAAAATATTGTATATGCGTGTTTATTGCATGAGGTAGAAACGTTTCCATCGTTAAACATAACTATAGTAAGAGCTGAAAGTAATTCTTGTAAGTGCTCAAAGAAAGCGTTTAGAAGCTATATATTACAACTAGAGGCGTCAATCCTGCAGTATACACAACATCAGTTTCATTAAAAGCAGAAAGATAAAACTATTGGCTTTATTGTTGATTTTTGCTATAATGCTCTAGCGATTATGCGCAGTAAAGTAGAAGCGGGATTAATAGCCAAGGCTGATATTGAAATTAAGGCAGAGGTTTTTGTATGTATAACTTGAACACCAATGTTAATCTCATGGTTAATCGTATCTTTATTGTAAAATCTACTGTAACTTACTATGTGGGTTTTGTGTAATTACGTGCGAAATAAACTGATAGCTAAGTTTGTATTTCACATAACTCCAAAAATATCATGTCGAATATATAGTTACTCGCATTAATATCCGGACATCATGATACTTGATGAATTATTATTTTCTAAAAATAGTTTTTGTTGCAATGAAGAGTTCACGGTTTTTAAAATTATTTAAGTCACTCATTATAAATGTCAGAAATGTTAATTTTATTTGACCGTGGACATTGCATTTAACATCAACATTTGGACATGAAGAAACTCACTGCCCAATGGATGTCACGTTTGTTAACAATCGACCAAAAGTAAGTTCGAATGACCATTTCTCAGCAATGTTTAGATATATTCAAGTGTGATACTAAAGATTTCGTTTTGTGACTGTTGATGAAACATAGATCCATCACTACACCGACCAAAGAACCGAAAAACACTCAAAAGAACAGACAGCACGCGGTGAACTCCGAAGAAAGCAAAAAGGATTCCACGAAAGAAAATGAACAATGTACTCTCAAAAATTTCTTATAGTTTATTATAGTTCATATTCTATAGTTTCCTTCTAATAATTATTGATATAATTAATAATTAATGTTGTTTGAGCTGATATTTTACTAATAAATAAAATGTTATGCAAATGTAAGATTATCAATTCTTTTATTATTTCTTAATACAAATCCCAACTTCCAAAATTGTCAAAATAATCCTAGTACCATGAAGAAATATATTATAGTTGTGGGCCTCATTATCACTACTGTTCCGTTGCGAATACAGGCGTCCTAGGTTATCGACCAACATAGCCGCTTGCCTACGAGAAGGCCGTGCGATAAAAAAAAAGAAGAGACGAATTAATAAACAACGGTTGTTAGAGACACACATAAGCTGTTAATGGCGAAAAATAAAATTTTATTTGTGCTAACATAAAAAGTATATTGTGAGTTTATATATTAAAGTGGGAGTCCTACTTTTAGTAAAAAATAGGCCCACATAGTTTACTTTAGGCACTTAATCGCAGCGTTCGCAATCCTTATTGCAAATAAAAATCTACTCTATTCTAAAAGGGCAATATTCATCAATATATCTAAGAAGAAAATATCAAATTGCATTACAGATCTGTTCATTAAATATTACGTGTAATTAACATTATATTTATGCACGACGCGATGACACTCTACAACAATTTGTGTTATACGTTTGTCTAAAGATATTTATTTTATTGCTCATTGACATCCTTATCCATTCCGGAAGAGACTCCGATCTAACTTTTGGAATCATAACGATATATGATAATAAAGTGTATGGATATTTGAGAAATTCGTGACGCATTAAAAAAATCCTGCGATATATTTTACGGTGACAATTGATCACGAATAGTCCATAAAATTTTACAACATACACATGTTTCAATATCGATATCTAATCCTTCAAGTGTCTCGCAAACATAGTATCAATAGAAACGCTTCCGTAATAAAATGTTATTGCGATAAAATCTAAAAATATTTTTTTTTGAACTGAAAAAGCATATATAAGCATCGCTACGAGCTGGGAGCAAGCATTAATCGTGCGGTAAATACAACGTTAGCTTTATTGAAAACAGCAAGATGAAACTGTCCGCTTTGTCGATCATTTTTGGCATGATCCTTGTGATGACGATCATGTACACTAAAGCAGAAGCGGAAGCTGAGGCAGAAGCCGATGCTGATGCCGATGCGAAAGCTGAAGCTGAGGCCTTCGTACGTATAACTTGCACATCGATGTTAACTTAATTCACGTTAATTACATGTTTATTGTCAGTTCTATTGTAAATTTTTATATGCACGTAATAATGACGTGTGATCTAAACTAATGGTTATATCGTATCCACATTTATATTATCGCTTCAAATATAATACTATAAATACGTTCTTTGAGAGAGATATTATATAAATTTTGGAAATTAGACGAACACACGTATTTGCTACACATAATACATATATATAATTCCTTAAATATATAATGAGATTTTTTCTGTTCTTTTTTAGTGGGGAACCCTAGCCAAGTTGGCGGTGAGTAAAAAGACAAAAATATGCAAATAGGTACCTACGCATGATGCTAATATTGATGAAATATTTCTTTCTTATTAGTTGAAAGCTATACCCGCAGCTATGGGCATGAAACAAAATGTGAAGGAATGATGATTATGGAACAATATGGAAAGAAAATGAATAATTCTTGTACTATTAAAATTTCTTTTTGTTTACGTTTATTTCTGATTATCTAGTGATTCTGATGATTTAATTATTATCTTGATATCGTTTGACATTTCACTGAATAATAAAATTTTCAGCAAGCATAAGTTTATCAGTTTTGTTATTATTTCTTAATGAGAACCTCAACTTCAAGAATTGTGAAAATTATTTTTTTTACCACGGAAAACGTGTTTTATTGCGGACATTAATCACATTCATAATCCTTGCTAGTGGCAGTGGGACATGATCGTAACAAATTTTAGCTGCAGTTGAAAAATTTGTGCCGCTTTAAAAATCTCCTGATAAATTTTATGTCGACAAGTAATTATGAATATTCTTTAAAATTTTACTGCACAACTCGAGAAAACAACCGTTTTCTAATATCAACGTTTAATCCATTAAATATGATATTACCATGTTTACTGCGCAATGGTTCTGTAAAAAAAGGAACACAAATGCAATAAAATATCAAAATGTCTCTTTCTTATAATAACTTTAGAAAGTGTACATAAACAGGGTGTACAAACTAAATGTGGTGGGATTAAACATCACAATTGTGCGACATCAACTCTCTTAAAAAATCAGCAAGATGAAATTGTCCGCTTCGTCGCTCGCTTTTGACGTGATCTTTACGATGGCGATCATGTACACTAAATGTAGGTAGAAACATCAGCCGATGCTGATGTCAATGCGATGCGGATGTTGAAACTGCGGTAAAGGCCTGAGTATATATAACTTGCAATAAATGTTAATTTCACTGTTAATTACATATTCATTTTCAAATCTATTATAAATGTATATGTAGATATTCTAATTACACGCGTAATCTGAAATAATGATTAAAATTATATCCTACCTATTTATTTCTCTCTCTCTCTCTCTCTCTCTCTCTCTCTCTCTCTCTCTTTCTCTCATATCGGTTGAGATATAAAACTATAAATACGTCCCTTAAAATGTTATGTAAATTTTGAAAGCTGGATAAAAGTACGTGTACTTACTATATACGTATACTTAATTCCTTAAACTAATATAATATATAGAATATCTTCTTCTTTATATTTAAATTGAAGACCTTAAATTAGCGATGAGTATATAGAAGCAATAAATAAATAGATACCTATACATAATGCTGATAATGATGAAATATTTCCATCTTATTAAAGTGGAGCATAAATCCCCTTACTGAGAACATTCAAAGCTAGTAACAAGTGGCAGCATTGGAAGCAGTCGACGGCACATGTAAATGGAAAATGAAGAAAAGTTGGTTCTGGAATTACATAAATGGTATTGAACAATTATATTTGTACTATTAAACATTTCTTTTTCTACGATTCTGACAACTGTTGATACTACGTCGTTTAAATTGACATTCCATTGTACAATAAGATTCTTTACAAATTAAAACTTATTATTGGTTGATTTCTTCGTTAAATACTTCGTGTAACAAACGTTACAGTTTTATACGATGCGATAACACTATAGCAGCATTATATGTTATACGATTACCTACAAAATATTATCTTTTTTATTTATTCGCATATATATTCAGAAATTAATTTTAAAAATTAATTTTTGAAGAATCATGATGCGGAAACAAAATAAACGCGGATAATTCTATTAACAGCTGAAAATGTTGTGTATTGCACTTAAAAAAAAGTTTGTTTTTTATTGATAACTTATCTCCGATGGCCAAATGAAATTTTATAACGTAAAAGTTTTCCCCAATGTCGATATCTGAACTCTCGTGTGTAGCATTGACGAGTTTTTGCACAAGATATAAATGCTTCCGTAATAAAATATGACTGCAGTAAAAATTGAAAATATGTCTTTTGAGAACGGAAGAAAATATATATAAGCGCGCTCTACGTGGCGACAGTAATTATCAATCGTGCAGTAAACACGACGTTAGCTTTACTGAAAACAGCAAGATGAAACTGTCCGCTTTGTCGATCATTTTTGGCATGATCCTTGTGATGGCGATCATGTACACTAAAGCAGAAGCGGAAGCTGAAGCAGAAGCCGATGCTGATGCCGATGCGGAAGCTGAAGCTGAGGCCATCGTACGTATAACTTGCACATCGATGTTAACTTATTCACGTTAATTACATGTTTATTGTCAGTTCTATTATAAATTTTTATATGCACGTAATAATGACGTGTGATCTAAACTAATAGTTATATCGTATCCACATTTATATTATCGCTTCAAATATAATACTATAAATACGTTCTTTGAGAGAGATATTATATAAATTTTGGAAATTAAACGAACACACGCGTTTACTACACATACTACATATATATAATTCCTTAAATGTATAATGATATTTTTTCTGTTCTTTTTTAGTGGGGAACCGTAGCCAAATGGGCGGTAAGTAAAAAGAAAAAAAATATGCAAATAGGTACCTACGCATGATGCTAATATTGATGAAATATTTCTTTCTTATTAGTTGAAAGCTGTGCCCGCAGTTATGGGCATGTTCCAAAAAAAGAAATGAAGGCATGGTGATTCTGGAATAACACGGAGAGGAAATGAATAATTTTTGTCCTATTAACATTTCTTTTTGTTTATTTCGCATAATTATTATCTTGATGTCGTTTAATCTGACATTTCACTGAATAATAAAATTTTCTGCAAGCATAAGTTTATCAGTTTTGTCATTATCTCTTAATGCGAACCTCAACTTCAAGAATTATGGAAATCATTTTTCTATCTCGGAAAACGCATTTTATTGCAGACACTAATCGCAATATTTACAATCCTTGCCAGTGGCTAGCGACAGTGAGACATGATCGTAGCAAATTTTATCTACAGTTGAAAAATTTGTGTCGCATTAAATAAGAAGATAGTGCATCATCTCCTATTAAAATAATTAATAAAGAATTTTGGTTAAAATTCAACGAGTTTGTGTATCTAATAAGAGGCTATTAGAAATATTACTTTTCAACTTATCTTTTTAACTTATAACTTATTTTCCTTTAACTTATCTTTAACAAATTGTCTTTAATATATAGACATACGGTTTGAACTTGTATTAAATAAGCAACGGAAAAAATAAGGATTCGTTACTTTTCGAGTAACAGTAACGAGAACGAGTTACTTTTTTGAATCGGCAATAAGTAACGAATTATCTTTAAAAAGTAACTTTCCCAACCCTGGTTATGTGTTCACGTATGAAATGTGTATATATTATTATTTATCGGCATACATTTCCGCCCCAGTAGACGTGCCTATCTTAGCGTCTTCTAGGAATCGCCACGACATCATAAAGACAATTTTATTTAGTAGTTAAAAAAAGTCGTGTTTCTTTAAGATAACGTTCTTCGATAAATTATCGTCCTCCTAAACATTCAAACTTTACAACATCAATATTTCAAATATTGGTATTTAATCTCGTCAAACGTTGCATTCGCGTATTTCTTGCAGAAGATAAGGACACGTGATTGTGATATAAAATACAATATTAATAAAACTTTAAAGTACTTTTAGATAGGCCGAAAAAAGTGTATATAAGCGATATGCTGACAGCAAACATTCAATGTGCGCAACTTAAGAAAATACTAAAAAATGAAACTGTCGCATGTAACGTTGGCTCTTGTTATAATCCTTGTTATGGCGATTGTGTCCTCTCAAGTGGAAGCGTGGCCTGATGCAGACCCTGAGGTATGTATAACTTGCACTTCTATGTTAATTACGTTTTCATTTTCAAATTGATTGCAAAGCAAAATTTTCACGTTGCCATTACCCGTGATATATGCCAATAGTTAAGATTATATCGCATCATTTCGCTCCGAACTACACTTATATTCTTCCTCCTTAAAAATTTATTATAAAAATTATTAATCCTTTCGCTGCGACGCGCTCCAACCAAAAGTGCTATGTGCGGTAGAGTATTTAATTGTGTAACACTGAGGCGGAATAATATAGTAGAGAATATTCTATATAACCAAAAATTCGAACAAGCAGCAGTACATATACAGCGTTCGCAAGTGGCGAGCGATTTTCCACATACACTGACAGAAAGTTACTTTTGGTGCCAATCATATTTTATAAGTAGTAACACGTATATAATTATCACTGACACTATAGTAACATTTACTAGAAAAATGGTTCTCTTAACTATTTTTGTGATTAAAATCAAAAAGTGCGTATGGTTGGCACCAAAAATAACTGTAATTTTCTATCAGTATACATGGTATTTGCAATTGAGAAGCTACGTTTCAGTAACGGATATATCTGTCATACGCAGCGGAAGGGTTAAAGGCATACACTTGCTATGCACTACACATGTGTATAAATTCTTTTAAATATAATGAAATCGTGTCTGTTTTTACTTAGTTCAAAGACAAGATGAAAAAGATTGGCAAAGGCATGCTGAAAGCAGTAAGTATATAAAAGTAGTGCGAAAATACGTAATTATGCTTTATGGTAGTATTAAAGAAACAATTTTATCTTTTCAGATGAAAGGATTCGCTAACTTTGCTGTAAAAGCAGCCCCGGTAGCTGCAAAATTAGCTTTAAAAGTAGCCCCTGCAGTACTTGCGTTTGGTAAATAAAAGAAGATGAAAAAACGATTGCGTGCTCTGGAGAATCACACGAATAAAAATCAATCATATTCTTGTATCATTAGGAAATTCTTTTTCTATTTAGTCCTGGCGTGATGTGTGTGATGGTTTCGTTCAAACTTATATTCTATTGAAAAATAAAATTTTTCTCATATACAAGTTATTTTTTATCATTATCTGTCAATGCGATCTTGCATCTTTTTCATAACGATTTGATATAATATTATCATTTCCAAAATATATCTTTATTGAATGAGGCGTTTGCCCGAGAGGAGTTATCTCTATTTTTTCGAAAAATTATGAAAATATTATTCCTAATGATATTTACGTTTCGCACCTTTTGCAGCGCGGCGTCTGATGATTCGCTATGTCTCAATGTATTACATTGTGATGTTATTGTACGATTGAAAACAAGTGCGATGTTTCGCGTACCAAAATACTCCGGATGCTTTTCATTAGAGTGAATCGCTTTATCTAACACAGTAATCTCAAATATTTAACGATGAAGCAGATGTAATTGCTACTTTGATGAATTGCAATCGTTGCGCTCACAGTCCAAGCATTTTCGAAGGGAGAGAGCATATCCTGGAGCGATCTGATCGCTCAAAGCGGGTAAACCTATTAAACGGCCAAGTATTTCCTCTATTAAATTTTTATTATTGGAATGTAACATGAAATATTTGGACTTTGCTATTTTTGTAGTGATATTTAACGTCAGAGAAAGCACTCGTTATCGGCATGCACGCCTTGCGTAATAAATTATTACGTCGCTGCTGATGTATTCTCGATGTCGATATTTTATAAATATTGTAGCTATGTGACATCGCAAAATTTAATAAACCGCTCGTAATCGGCGCACTCGCGTAAACATTACGACATGTTTTCTCTCCGTAAACCGTCGATGTAAACATTTTAATAACACTCTCCTCGCTTGCGTGAAAACTTACGTAAACATTTTAATTACCGCCTGTCCGAACGATCGATTCGGGATAAGTGTTGTAAGCGCACGTTTTCTTGTTGGTCACGCGATATAACATATTTCGTTTACCGCATGCCAACCGCGAATTTGCATCCCCGGCGAAAGTATTATCCCATACATCGTCCGTAACAACCCCAGCGTACTAAGCTTCGCACAATCATATTAGTATAATTAATGTACAGCGGATTGTTATTTAAGTAGAAGAGAGAAAGAGAAGAGAACCACCCGACTCTCCGTCTGATTAAATATCCCGCTGGGTTTATACTAAATTAATTACCGACGGCCCGCGGACTAGTTGTACTTTCCACGAGATTCAAGCTCTCACTCTCCCTCTCTCCCTTCCTCTCCCTACCTCCTCTTCCTTATTACCGTAGCAGGGCACGAAAACTGACTGCGAGACGAATTAACCGGGTTTCTTTCGTTTTCCCGAGCGAAATGAAGATAATTGAAACTATTTTAATTCTGGGAAATATATACATATATATATACATCTCGCGTCAAAAGTTCCCTTTAACGTGCCAGTCGTATTAAAGTTCTCTTACCTTGGCCGACGCGTCGGGCTTGAGTCATCATCGCACGCTTCCGTAGTGGACATGTTGATTTCTGCAACACACCAAACAAAGGTACACTTTTTTTCTTAACGGAGCGTCATACGAGTATTTAAAATGTCACATTCATACACGGAAAAAAAGAAGTTGCTCTTACAGCCAAAAATTAGCTGTCCGTATGATACAACTGAAATTTATTTAACTAATTCTTTTTGCTTCTGTATCTAATTTTTAGCTTTCACAGCTAAAACTAAAAGATCTGGCAACTAAATTTCAATTATATTATACTAATCACTTTTTTCCGTGTGCGAAATTGAGAAATCAAAGAATGAAGAAATTGAGAAACCGCGAAATTATCAAGATATTGTGATTACGATATATCGCATGTACGGAAATTTTAAAAGTTTAATAACATGAAAATTTGCATACAGGCTATAGACATTTTTCTCACCCTATATTTAAAAAATTGGTTATCAATTAAGTTATAATTAATCGGAACGACCGAGTTTTAAAGCATATAGCGACAATAACAGTAAAATAAATTTTATGACTCTGAAATTTTTTCATGGATATATTAATATAATCGACCGACGCGTGTGTCTTCGGTTATGTAAAATTAATTTGACCGTTTATCTCCCGAATAACTTTTTCATCGAAAAGCGCGTAATTAGCTAAGTTAACGCCGCTTATGCGTCATTCTTCTATCGTTCTAACTGCATTGCGTTTATGGGCCGTAAAAAGAGTAACGCGTAAATTAGAGGATATTGGTATTATCACTGTTTTTTCCCCTTTGCTGGATTATTACAGCATTCAGCCATCCAATGCCACAATATTGGCGAACACTACAAATTATAACTTTCCTACCTCGAGCACTCTGACCTTTTTTTAACAGTCCAGGTAAAACTTTCCTATTGGAATCGAATTTGCATGATGGAAGCTTCACAATCGGTATGTTATTTCTAGCAAACCGTTAGTTCTGTAGCTTTGGAGCTTAATTCGGAAAATCCGCTGTCAAAAATCCCGATAATACTTGGTGGAAACATCATTACGCAGAGGGTCGCGCACTTTGTGATCGTCGACACGGCCGCGCAATTGAGGCGCACGTAACGAAATAGTTCACGCTTATCACTTATGATCGCCTGCGCATATCGCCACGGTTTCGATATGAATGCGATATCACCTGACCGCTCCGCTGGCGACAAGATTGGTCCTTTAACCAAATGGTCGGTTTGTAAGCGAGGACAGTTTCTGTGTGTCAAGTGAAAGCGCTATTCAATTTCCTTTCATCTGGCCCATTTATATATGCATATACGTAACTCAGTCGTGCACGCGTGTATCCCAATCTGCAACAGGGATCGATCTTTACCACCAACCCTTGCTCCCCCCTTCTTCCGTTTCAAATTCGACCATTCGCGCGATTCTCATCTTGTTCTCCAGAGGTAAACCAAAATTCCCTTCTCCAAATGTGAGAGATGCGGTCAACCGCCAATAGGTCGCCGCGACTTTTTCCGACGGTGAGCCTCATTCGCGACAGTTTTCACCGAGAATGTCCACAAACTCGCCTGCGTAGTAAATTGCAGTGAGCATAATTGACACGTACGTGCGCGTGGAATTTATTTGAGTAAAATAACCATAAGAGAGAGAGAGAAAGAGAGAAAGAGTTTAATCACGGAGGATCGGTTCACTCGTGTAGCTTTTTGCTCTTTACGAAGTTGACTTTAGCCGGCGAGCAATTTCCATCGGCACACGACTGTGCAAACGAGAAAAAGGGGAATTCCGGCGACTTTTCATTATACAGCTGCTTTAGCGACCGCTTGCGGACTGTCAAGGATATTGCGCGCGGAATCGCGTCGCCTCGAAAATCAGTTTTGCCGTATATTCATCTCTTCCTGCCCTATTTTGTCTTCTCCGTCATTTATGCTGTATAGGCCGCTCCACAGTTAGTCGACACGTTATATTTCGCAGCATTGCGTCCATCTTAATTTCTCAAGACGCACGATTAATTTCATCGCGATTGCTCTCGAGCGAAAAAATACGTCGATTTTATCCCGTGCCGTTGGCATTTTTATTTCATCGTTTGTCCACGTAGATTGAAAAGTTGAAAGAATAACGTCTTGCCGTATATTTCTTCTTAAAGTTCCATCGTGCGCAGTCGATTATTCTCTTTGTATCCTTCTCTTTTTCTCTTGCTGCTCTATTTCTTCTTCTCTCTTCAGAAGTCTCTCGCAAAAATCCGCGTAGAATTTATTAAACCCCGACTGTAACACAGAGTGTACTTCAATTCCCGACAAAAGCCCATAACTCGCAATCAATACGGCACGTGCGATATCGAATAACAAATGAAAGCGTAAATTTTCCCTCTCTCGTTCCTTCCGCATTTAATATCGCGTAAATATACGTTCTATACTTTTCAAAGGGTGAAGCAATATCATTGAACGCTACATCGTTCTTGCGAATTTCATTTTGCCCTACGAATGAGAACGAAACATATCTCGTTTAATGTTGGAGCGTATTTGCATTGGCTATATTTCGATGGAATTAACATCTTGTATGGTTGCAACGTGATTTATCGGCGCGCGAGAACGTCATACGGGCGCCAACGGCCATACGTGAAAATCGCGAATAACACATACCGTATCATCTTTATTATACCAAACGGAATCCCTCGACAATAGCAAATCGGTAAACAATACGTTTAATCAGCACCGGTAACAGCCAATTAATATGCGGCATTCGTAGTAAATCTCACTTAAAAGGATAGCCGCTCTAATTAGAAATCCACCTCTCTCTCTCACTCTCTCTCTATTTCTCTCCGACGTGTCTCTGGTTCAACGTCGCTTCGCGCGTGACCTACTAGAAGCAATTTCTCTGTCGGTTCGTAAAATTTAATCGATGTAATGCCGTGCCTCTTCTTCCCTCTCAATTTATTCGATATCTCCTATATTTTCGAAAAAAAATTATCGGCGCAACGCGTGTCGAGCAGTCTCTCCGCGAGAATTTATTCATTTTCAGAATCCACACAGCAATATATAAAGTCAATTCAGCAGAAAACTAATATTGATTCGTTGTATAAAAATTTAAATTTCCCAGTAATATATTGACTGACGCTTTTCATGCGTCGAAAGATTATTATCAACCGTGTTAAAGTCAGTACGAATCAACGTCAGAGAGAAAGAGAAACGGGGTGAGTGATGTGAACAAAAAATACGCAGATTGTGTCCATAATTATTGACCTTGGGAACACCCACATTTTTACACGTTGAGCTAGAAAGAGCCTCTTAGATGATTGTTATTTGATCGAGCCGTTATTTTTATACGAACATTTATCTTGCACAGAGTATAAAAATATGCAGATCATCGCGGAAAAATTTTATCAATGATCCTCCTCCCTGCATTTTTTATCATTGAAAAACTATAATTAAATCGTGAATTGATTCACCGTTAGAATAAAACCTATTCGATAC